AGACGGACAGACGGACAGACGGACAGACGGACAGACGGACATACGGACAGACGGACACACGGACAGACGGACAGTATGAAAATATTTTGTATTTAGGTCATTTATGACCCAAATAATTCATTTTAAGTGAAATTAAAAAAACTTTTTTTGCCGATCTTAACAGCCTTACCTGTTGGTATGGTAGGTTAAAAATACTGAAATATATATTTTCTTCCATTGTACTGTGAAAATTTAATTAAAATTCGTATTTTTCTTTGAGATAATTTTTACAAAAGTGGTGTACTTAGACCTAAAAGATTTTCAATTTTTTGTCGGTTTAAAGTATATTTGCGATCTTACTGCTTAAGTGCTAATGAGGGTGGCTTATCAGTTAACTTCCCGAAACACCGCGTAAAAAATAAATTACATTCCCATTTTAAGGGATCGTAAACGGAAAATATCTGTATAAATAAAGATACAAAAAGGAAAGCACGTAAAAAATCTAAATAAAAAAAGAATACTATTAACCAATTCAAAAAATTAAATTTTAAATATATTTGTTTTACAACAATATGTTGTTCTCGAGATGCAGCAGACTAAATAAAATTTCAAATTTAATAAGTAGGTTTCCTTTTTTTTTTATTTATTGTGAAATTAATAATAATTAATATATCTCCAACTAATTCCCCGTTTTTGTTGCAGATAGGTATGCCAATTTATATGACAAATGCATATAAGTTAAAAAGCAAAAACCTAACTGTTTTATGTGTTTTATTTTTACCAAAAAGGATTGATAATTACTTAATAATAAATTATTATTACTTATATAGGGTGAGTAAGCGATAGAGTGCTTGTTCTAAAAGAGATTGCTTGTTCTAAAATAGTTAATCCCTTTTATACTTTTCCAAATTACCACATCCACAAAATTAAGAAAAACATGAAAATATGGTTGAATTCTTGAAGTCGAATTCAAGAAATTGTGATTAATAAAATTGTTATCTCATCAAGGAAGCCGAATTCGACAAATATCAAGAGATAACTTTTAATTGACATTAAACGGCCTACATAATTTTGGTATCAAAAGAAAAAAAGTCAGTGGCTGTCATGTCACAAGTCTTGTTTTTTTTGAAAAATATTCCAGTGATAACCGAGGTGATAACCCATATGCACGTCCCTGATAAATCTGGCGACATTTTTTTAGCATTAAAATATGTAGCACTTATTATAATTTTTACCCTCAAAATTTCATTCTTGTTACTAAAAGTACTTGGAAGAAAATTATAATAAATCGAAAGATTATTAAGATTTGAACACCCTGAAGAAAACAAAGCAGAATCGGGCTGTTTTTATGTTTATATGTAAAATAAATCTTATTTTTACGTGAGGAATCTCCTATCGAGAGATGGCACATGTTTTCGACAAAAGAAACATATTTTCTTTTGCTATTTTTAAATATTTCCAAAATAACCGAAATATATTATTTTAAATCTCTTAACATAAAATTTCCTTCAATTTTGAAAATCACTGGATTTTTAGTGTGTTTTGTTTTTTATTTGCAATTATTTAAGGCTCACTCTGTATAAACTAAATCATATGCAACATCCAACAAATTTCTAACTACTACAAAGGAACAATAGGTTATTGGAGGTTATTGGAGAAAGGGGGGATCTACCACAAACCCTGCTCTTTCTCCAAGTTTCTCACATCCTCTATCTCTAAACAGCATACGATAAAATCAGGCTCACCTCCAATAACAGCGATCTCCTTCCCATTTTCAAAACGTTTGATTCATCATTTTCGAACTATATACGCGAACTCCAACTCGCATACGAAGTTGGTACGGTAAACTTGTTATCCCGGTACTATTTTATAGCGTATCGAAGTTTAGCCTCGCTATATAGCTCGCGGTTTGGTTTTGTAAAGGTTTGGCGAAAGCATTGAAGCGAAACGTTTTTGGGATTTACTATCTCGTTATGGGAGAATATTCCGTATAGAAAACTAAATAGACTGTAAAATGAAATTTAGATGTGTGGATTTTTAATTAATTTATATAGAAAGGATATGCAAAATGTTACTGAATAATGTATAGACATCTAGAAAGCAGTTACAATAAAAATCCATATGAAATAAATCTATAAAACTGTTCTTCGCTAAGCGTTATATATTCTTTGGAGTTATCACTTGAATGACTGGATTTAAAATTTGTCCAAGGAGGCAGTAAATATGTCGAAAAATGACATCTAAAAAAAATCAAAAAATACTATGAACTGGTTAATTAAAATGGCAGAGATGACAACTTTCACTATCAATATTTTTTTTGTTTAACAGACTATACCTTCTAACTGGACTTTTAAATTAAAATTAAAGTACAGCGACTAGAATAAGATGGTAATTATTTTCCCCGTTATTAAAAGATCCGTCCTGTGCCAGAAAACAGTACGACCTGTAAGACTTATTGCGAGGGGTGTTTCACTTGGGTAAAAATGTACATCAGCTACACCTCGGTTTATTGTGATTATCCACTTTTTATTTCTGTACTCACTCTCCTATCTCTGAGACCTGCGCCAACTTCTCCAGGTCCTTATTAGGATATAAAAAGGAGCATAGTTTCTCCGGTTCTAGCCTTCCTTTCCCAAGTAGAAAGTATCGCTTGCTATCCAGAGCCCAGTAGTGACATATTATGTGCTCCGCTGTTTCAGGATCTTTATCAGGGTCTGCAGCAAATACGTCCTTGATACAGGTTGTGCTTCTATAAGATGACTATATAATACTATATAAATATTAGGGCTGGCATTTCTGGTCTTGGGTGCCGATTTTCGTGTGTACGAAGAGTACGGTCAACACACTTAGCAAAATAAGATAGAGGCAAGTATATTCCCAAGCGCGTGGAATCTAGCGTCAGATTAAGTGGTTATGTAATAAATACTTCGTGTTTTTGCTCTCTCCGACTAACTAGATTACCATAGCGATTCACTCCTATACATGTAAAGGCCGACCCAAGGTTTCGCTTGCCAGCAGGGTATACGTATATTCCATTACATCGCAAAGAAAAAGTCTTTTGAGAGATAATTATATATATAAATTATTTTGATAATATCAACATAAAGAATTTACTAATAGTTTTAGATACTATGTTTAGAGGAGAATATGAACGTTTTGTTTTGTATTATATCAATGTGCATAAATGTAAATTTCTAAAAAAAAATCCTGGGTATGTGGCCATCGAAACAGAAATTTCAAAAATATTAAAGTTAATTTTTATAAAATGCCGAGAATCCAAACGATAACTAGCTGTTCAGTAGCATTTTACTCGTAAAAATTTTTCCTATCATGAAAGAATATTTAACGTTTTAGAACGTATAACTCTCCCCGTTATCGGAGGGGAGGGCAAAAAAAGTATAAAAAATTGTTTAAAATGAATATAAACAATTATTGATGTGCCAAATTTCGTATCGTAATATACAGGGCGAGTCTTAAACAAGTACAAATATGTTTAGGGCTGGTAGATCTCGATAAAAGAAACATGTTTTCTTTTTATCGTTTTTCAACTAAGTCCATAACAGGGTTGGAAAAAATCATGATTTTTTTAAAAAAATCAAAAAAATCAGATTTTTTTGATTTAAATCAGATTTTTTTGATTTTAATTCAAAACAATATTTAAATCGGATTTCCAAATGACTAGGACTTATTTCTAATTAAAGTCCTATACTAAATGGCTAAATCTATACCTCGATACCCCGATAACATTAACAATTCTATGGGGCGTGTGATTTTTCCACATCGGTCACCAATATATTCCGCAAAGTCATTCACTTCAGATCAAAAGATTTTTTTTTCAAACGCCTAAAAAAGTATTAATTTTTGTCATTTTAGCGCCTAGGCATAAAAGTAATGCAATGTTACGCCTAAGTACAAAAATGTATTATTAAACTGATATTAGTGTCAAATTCAAGGAGTGTTGTTGCTCGATTACTGTTTATATTATTTGCAATGTTTGAAATTGATTAAAAAATTATTAGTAATGTTTAAAAAAAATATTATTTTCTATTCGGAGTAAAAATGGTAATTTTTGTGCCTCCCTGTAACGTCGGAATAGCTTACGATGGTCCTTCAAAGGTACATCATCGTCAAAAAAAGTATAATTTTTACTCCTAATAAAACAATACACTATTGTTCGGAAATAGTCTTAAGTCGAGAATGAAATTAGTATGTATTATCTAATATCAAAGTGTAAAGTACTTACTGCAGATCAAAATGTCGGTAGGAATTTGGAAACAACATTTACAACCGCTTTAAAAAAAATAAAGCTAAATATTTTCTGACGATTATAGATTCTCGGGAATAAAGATATAGTGTCTATAAGAACCTAGTTCTGCACTAGACTTTGCGAATGATATGTATTTGAACAGCGAATTTTTGTCACTTATACAAAAAAATTTAAAATAAATCTGCCCAATATTTAAATTAATGAATATATATTTTTATATAGTTTTATAACATTTACGATTATTTTTCGATTTATTAACTGTTATATGTGTTATAGAATATTTTTTATAGTTTTCTAGGACACGCTTTTATATCTTTTACAGTTATTTTTTTGATTTAAATCACATGATTAAAATTAAAAAAATCACTTGATTTAAATCTCGATTTAAATCATGATTTAAATCATTTGATTTAAATCATGCCAACCCTGGTCTATAATAACTGAAATATTTTACTTTGAAAATTAAAAAAAAAATGATTTTTCGCTTAAATTTTGAGAGCCACTGGATCTTGTCTGGATTTTTTTCTTTCTTATAAATTTAATCTACCATATTGCCATATTATGAAAATATTATGTTTTTTAACTAAAAATTTAAAAAAATTCCGATTTTTTTCAAAAATTTCTATACTATAGGGTCGAAATAAACTTACAGTTATTTAAGACTCACCCTCTATAGTTAAGTTTATTGTTGTAAAGTTATAGCCAGTAAATATCCAATATACATAATAATTACTTTGAATTTTCTTGATTTCAGATCTTCAAGTTACATGGATGGACATTCTAGAACTTAACAAAATAACTGCAGCAGCGCAGAAAGTGAAAACCAGCCAAAAGTAAGTATTTTTTGTCTATAATTTTGAATGAAGCCAAACTAAACCAACCCAACCCAACTCAATTCTTTCAATAATCGCTGTAGAGTATTTTTTTGGGGTCTATTTACACGTGTCAGTCACATCTCACATCCGTTGCCGTACGATTTCAGTAGCATTTAGTAAACATCTGTGATGGCTAATATGTGAATACAAATCGGTCAAGAATTGTCTTGTAAAGATAGTAGTGGTTATCTCTGAAACTTGCGGAATTAGAAATTTTACAGACGACGAATTAGCTATGATTACTGTAGCTGTGTATGAGGAAAAAGGAACGGCTCGAACCAAAATGAGAGGGAGGGTACATAAAACTTGATTGAAAAAGAAAATTGACAGAGAATTCAGTACCCATTTTAGAGAATTATTCGACGATGATACCAAATCCTATAAGTATTTTAGAATATTTCCTTAACTTATAAAACTAAAACCAGACATATTTCCAAACTAGTGTTGAAGAAGCTTTAATGATCAAACAGGATGAAGCTACGTGTACAGTCTTGAATAATGGTCAACATTACGGCATATAGTGGACTCCTTTTAGTATATTGGAGGATCTGAGTAATGCAGATGACATCCGCATCCTTTGTCATAGTCACGCGTTTATATAGCATCACATTACTTGACTGTTATGAAATGAAGCTAGAATTGTACGTCTTAGTATCTCTATAAAAAATAAAGTGAAGAGAGTCTGTACAAATAGTGTCCCTCCCTTTACCATTTGAACAATACCTATAGAAAAGGTAAACCATTTTACATACTTGGGTGGTATAATCTCAACCCACAGAAGCATATAGCAAGATATCATTAACAGAATAAACAAAGCCCATATAACATTTGAAGTGCTAAACAATATTGTGAGATTTAGGCAGTACCTCCAACTTACCAAACTTAAAAATTTTAATTCAAATGTCAAGTCACTATGTACGGAGACCTGAAAATTACACCGCCGTTAATTTATATATTTATACATTATATGTATTCATAAACCGTTGTTTGCTAAATATTGTAGGAATATTCTGACCAAATACTATTAGAAACGAGGATTTATGGAGCTTAACCAATCTAAGGCAGGTGTGTAATAAGATCAAACTGAGTAAATGGAGGTGAACTGATTATTATTTAAGGCGACACTCAACCAAAAGTCGACATAAATATAATGAAAATGTTCATTAATATAATGAATTAAATCATTAATTTTGAGCCTATGAACGATTTCATTGGCACAATGAAAAGTAATTCATTAACTCTATGAACTTTAAGTTCATTAAATCAATGAACAGTGTTCATTAATTTGAAGAACACATTCATTGTTACAATGAACAGATTTCATTAATATAATGTACCTAAATCCTTATATTAATGAACCGTTATCATTAATACAATGAAATAATTTCATAACCTATTTAGTTATACATTTAAAAGTCGACACTATTAGTAACTCTTGTTACACCGTATAATCGATGATGAAGATCCCTGTCATTGATATGAAATGTCATTGATAGTCATTTCCCAGCCAACTACCTGAAATAATTCTACTATAAATAGATTTCCATTTGAACAAGCCCTTAGCTACAAAGGTAACAAAATTACTAATAGTGCCGACTTACTTACGAGCACAGTAAATTTTTCCATTAGGGATTATTAATAAAAAACAAGTGCAATAAACTAATAATAATTTATTAAACTCGATATAGCATATACAAATTAAAAATTAAAAAAATCGAATCGACGAAGAGAGTAGTATTTTTATTATTAATTTTAGGGTAAATTATGATAAGAAAATTAATTTACCAGTCGATATCCTGAGGGATTTCTATAAAAAGATCATTTCTTCATTATATTAGCTGTATCCTTAGACTTGATAACGTCTAGACGAATTTGCAGTGTGCTAAAGCCTCACTGAATAACTCAACCACACAAACGTTATTAAAGTGCCAATGTGACCGATCAACATGGCGGACATTTAAGCCCTAATATTTTATTCATGATATTAATAACCGCGTACATAATATAATGTAGTGTGTTCGCTGTATTAATAACATTGTTCATTGTCACAATGTACAACTCATTAATCAATGATTTAGTACATTAATATAATGAATATGTGTTTATTAAAGTTTCAGCACTAAAATAAAGAACGCGTTCATTGGGGCAATGAACGCGTTCATTATATTAATGAAAATCTTACATTAATTTAATAACCAGATTTTCATTATATTGATGAAATTAGATTCATAGTATTAATAAATCGGACATCGATCTATGATTAAAAAATCATTATATTAATGAAAAAAATGAAGTCCCAATGAGACAACAGTTAATAATCAATGTTCATTAATATTATGAACAATATATTTTTTATTGGAGGTGGTAGCAACAATGCTGATAAATTAATTGAGTGGAATCTATATAATCTATATAAGCCAGTAGAAGTGTTCGTCCCAGACATACCTGGCCAAAGACAATTACAAAGAAGACCGAATCACTAAACCGATGGTGGCTAGATGTTAAATCGATTTCAAACCACCGAATCCTCTGCATTTACTCTATATAATAGTAGTAAGAAGTAGAGTAAGAGACGTGTGTACTGACCAAACAGTAAAGGAATTATTTATTTTCAAGTACACATAATATAATCTCCTTAGTGTATATCCATCCAGTACACTTTTTATAAATGCTGTTTTTTAAATGATCTTTAAGAAACCGGTTCCCGATAGATCACCAAAATTAAGCGACGTTAGACGATTCCCGTAGATGGACACAGTGTCGGACTGGACCAGAAGGGTCCGGGTGGAAATTTTTGCGCATTTTTTACCTTAGGTTTTAGTCAATTTTCTCCTATATTGATTTGTCGGTTAGTGTTTGAAATCAGGGAACTACCCGTAATATAAATATTGTTAATCCAAAAAAAAATTGGGATAATCTCAGAGTATTACCGTCACTTTTCTCTGTTTCCTTTGTACACTGAAAAAAACATATAAAAATAAAAAACTACAACATTGTACCACATATTGTACTTAGATATTTGTAAACATACGACACACAATTGTTGTATTAGTAAGTTATTATTCCTGTCCAACTCAGTTTACAATAGTACCAAGTAACAGCAATTTGTATTAAAGAATATAGTTAGTAGTGCTACAATGTGTATTAACTTTTCATTTAAATTTTAATGAGTACAATCTGAATATGCTCTGACACAAAATTGTACTCTCTAGCCAAGTACAATTAGTAGTAGTTTAGTAAATTTAAAATAAATTAATGCTGGCGTAAATAGTTAAAGATTTCTCCGAAATTGTTGTATAACTGTAAATAGTTCTTATATAGAAAAATGTTTATCGGAATAAAAACTGCTGAATTTCGATGATTGAGAAATAGCGTACGAAAGTAAAGTCCGCGGACTTTACTTTTCATTATATTCGCGTCCAGTCCGAATGTATTATCTTGATTTTTCTATACGTAGTACCGTCCCTGCGTGCACAATTTTAAAGCTATAAGCTAAATTCCCCGTTGCTAGTCTAGGTGGTGGCGCCGGCCCTGGCGCGGCGGTCGGTATTCATTCGTGTTTCTTGCACGGTGCAGGGCAGATCGCAGCTCTCCGATTTCTTCGTCGTAGATCGATGAAGCCATTTTGTTTATTCTCTACTCATTTTGGATATTACTATGTAATATACGGTGTTCTACAGCTAGGTAGAACACAAGGAACAATATGTAAGTATTGTATAATATTTATTTTTAGAGAAAAACGAAGTGGACGTAAATAACGGAATATTAGAATTAGATAAAAGAAGAAAACAATAAGAATATCATATACATCGGACTGTTGTACTCTCAGTGAGACAAAGTTCGTACGTGTAAAGAATGTCCTTCTCGCTCTATATCTCGCAGTCAAGAGAATAATATAAATGCCAAAGTGTTGCATCTCCGAGTCAGTCAAATTTCGTACTTTTAGAGGATGCCCATATGAGAGAGATTCCTTTTATAAGTCAATATTGATATCCCACTATCGAGAGATAAATTACAGGTATCACAGGTAAGTATCTTATAATATTTATTTTCAGGTAATTAAATAATGGAGGGAAATAATTGAAGTAAAAGCAAATCTCTAAATGTAGAAATTAGAGGCAAGGAGGAGACAATGGAAGTAGACAAAGGGAGAAAGCAATAAGAATATCGTATATATCGAACTGTTGTGCTTTCAGTGAGACAAAGTTTCCTATTTAGAGAATGCCCTTCTCTTCGTGAGAGGGATTCCTATTATATGAGGTTAGAAATCTGGCTATCAAAATAATATTATAAATATCGAACTGTTGTTCTCCCAGTGAGGCAAAGTTTCCTATTTATAGAGAATGCCCTTCTCCTCGTGAGAGGGATTCCTATTGTATGAGGTTCTAAATCTCTCTATCAAGAGAATATTATAAATACCGAAGTGTTGTATCACCCAGGGAGTCAAATTTCGGATTTTTCGAGAATGGCCGTCTCCGTGTGAGGGATTCCTTTTATAAGTCATTGCTGATATCCCCTATCGAGATATTAATTACACGTATTACCGGTAAGTATCTTATAATACTTATTTTTAGGAAATTAAATAATGGATGGAAATAATTAAAGTAAAAGCAAATTTCGAAATATGGAAATTAGAGGCAAGGAGGAAACAATGGAATTAGACAAAAAAAATGAGAATAACATATTTATATCGAACTGTTGTCCTCTCCGTGAGACAAAGTTTCGTACTTACAGAGAATGCCCTTCTCTTCGTGAGAGGGATTCCTATTATATGAGGTTCTAGATCTCGCAATCAACAGAGTACTATAAATGCCGAAGTTTTTTTATCTCCCAGCAATGAAATAAGGTATGGAAATAATTGAAATCTTGAAATGTGAAAATTGGAGACAATGGGATAGAGAATGTCATAATATGTAACAGACTTTTGTTTCCCTAGTGAAACAAAATTTTGTACTTTT